GGTGAGGGATGTATGCAGCAGATAGTCATAGGGGAGAGAGGCAGATATATATATAGAGAGAGAGAGAGAGGGAGAGGGAGAGGGCGAGGGCGATGGAGGGGGAGAAAGAGAGAGAGAGAGAGATCAACATAGAGCGATAGAGGGAGAGAGAGAGAGAGAGAGAGAGAGAGAAAGAGATAGAGAAACAGGGAGGGAGATGCCACCCGAGTTGCCAGCCCGAGTGCACCGACAAGCAGTAGTCCAAACGAAACATCCAAACACCACGTCACGACGCGCCTCACGCGTCATCTGTCCTTCATGTTGGGTGGAGGGGGGGTGGGGGGCGTCTTATGGAGCCGTGCTGGAGGAGGGTCTTGGAGTGATGGTTTTCGCAGAGGTCTTGGAGGCCGTGTGCTCCTGGCACGCGCCAGGACTGCATCGGTAACGCCCGTTCGAGCCGGCGCGAGCGCAAGCAGCCGCCGAGCGGGGAGCGGGGCGCGACGGCGACCAGGCGCAAGACGTGGCAAGGCCGAGGCGCACTTCCTTGCCGAGCGCGGGCGGGGTGTCCTGCAGCAGTCCGCACGTATAGTAAGGGCGCACGGTAAGGATGCCGGGGCCTTGCGAGGCCGCGTCGGCACTTTGCGGGCGGGGCGCGGCCAGCGAACGCGGCCACGAAGGGGCCGACGGGGATGGATTAGGGGAGCGAGCAATGGCATGAACATACCAACTCGGAGGTCCGCGCGGATTTCTCGGATCGGCGCTGGACCCCCCTTCCTTGGCGCGCGGAGCGCGCCAGGGGCGGCGCCGGAGGCGCCGCCCGGGGGGGCAGCGCCGATCCGAGAAATCCGCGCGGACCTCTGAGCTTTTATGTTTATGCCATTGCTCGTTCCCCAATGGATGCGAGGGTAACCTTGGAAAGCCGCCCGTCATTGTTCTGCGGGCTGGCCGTACCCCGGTGGGCATTCCTTTCGCATCGGCCCCCCCCCCCCCCCCCCCCTGCCGCCCACCGCCGCCCACGGCCAGGGCTCCTGCCCCCGAGGCTGCGTGCACACAGAGCCGCGGCCAGGCTGCCCGATCAGTGGTCTCGAAGGTGGCCCCCGACGCACGGCCTGTCGAATGGTGGGGGGAGGTGCTTCCAATGCTTCGGTGGGTGAGCTAAACGTGTCCACACGTGTCTCGCCAAGACCTTGAGTTATTCAAGCACGTTGGACCAACATGTATACCCGATACCCCCCTTCCCCTGAATTCAAAATTGACGGGTTTGGGCGGTAGTCTAAAGGCCAGGGACAACATGTGGACATTTCAGCTTTGGGTTAGGGGGGGAGGGGTGCGAAGCAAGGGCATTTCGCAGTTGTGGTTGTTATCATGCTGCATCACCTTCCCACCATGGGTGTGGTCACTTTTTGTCTGGGAGCCGCTACGTTCCGTCGACGTTCGCCTGCTTCTCCATGTCGCTGTCAGCACCCGCAGCATTCCGATTTGGTGACGCTTCGCGAATCCCCACCAGCCCATCCCGACACTAGGACCAGGAGAATTGAGGTGATCAGAGGCGTGTAGCAGCAAGAGGGGGCAGCTGTTATTTTTGAAAGTTGAAGAGGAGTAGTAGTAGTAGGAGGAGGAAGAGGAGGAGGAGGAGGAGGAGGAGGAGGAGGAGGAGGAGGAGGAGGAGGAGGAGGAGGAGGAGGAGGAGGGGAGGAGGAGGAGGAGGAGGAGGAGGATGGAGGAGGAGGAGGAGGAGGAGGAGGAGGATGGAGGAGGAGGAGGAGGAGGAGGAGGAGGAGGAGGGAAAGGCGGAACAGGCAGATGGTAAGGAGGAGGAGGAGGATGGAGGAGGGCAAGCAGAAGGCCAGAGGCCTCGTGGATGCCTCTCGGAGTATCTCGGGATGTTTCTTTTTGGCTTCCTGGGCGGCCTCTTGGGGCGTCTTTGGGGCCGCTTAGGGGCCTCTTGGGGCATTCTGGGGGCCTCTTGGCGCTCTCTTGGGGCTCTCTTGGGAGCCCTTGAGGCCCTCGTGAGGCCACCCTGGAGGAGGTCGCTCAAATAATCTCGGAGCTTTAATTTGCGGCGCCCCTCTGGAGCCCCCACAGTCGCCTCTTGGAGCTTTCTTGGAGCGCTCTTGGTCGCTCTTGGGGCTGTCTTGGGGCCCTCTTGGGCCTCTCTTGGGGCCCTCTTGGGCCATCTTGGATCCATCTTGACGCATCGGAAAGCCATCATAAGCGAAAAGGCGAGAACATAGCAACCATATTTTGTCCTTGGGTTTGGGGGGATTTGGGCCTCCTGTGTGCTCCCAGGGGTGCTGCGAAGCTACTTGGCGCCGTCTTGGGGCGGTCTTGGAGCCTCTTGGATCTCGTTGGAGGCTATCTTGAGCTACCTTGAGCTTTCTTGGAGGCATCTTGGGCTCTCTGAGGCCCTCTTGGAGCCATCTTGGGCCATCTTGGACGCTCCATTGGGTCGCGGGGCGTCCAGTCCAGGTCCAGGGGGAGGGGGTAGAGAGAGGGGTCAAGACCCCCTCCCCGCCCGCAAGCGGTCTCGCCCGCCCCCACCGGCCCTCCTAACGCATACGTAGCACCCGAGTCTGGCCCGAGCCTCAGCATATTCAGCAGTCGTCTTTGGATGGGCAGCTACTGGGGGCCAATCCGCCGCCGCCGCCGCCGCCGCCTCCGCGCCGCCCGCCGCCGCCGCCGCCGCCGCCGCCGCCGCCGCCGCCCCCGCTGCCAAATCGCCGCCGCCGCAGCCGCTGCCGCCGCAGCCGCTGCCGCCACTGCCACCGTCGCAGCCGCCGCCGCCGCCCCCGCCGCCGCCGCCACCGCCGCCGCCGCCGCCGCCGCAGCCGCCGCAGCCGCCGCAGCCGCCGCTGCAGCCGTCGCAGCCGCCGCCGCCGCCGCCAAGTGTACTCTGTATTGTTTTTTGTCAGGGATGGTGGGGGGAGGCCGCATCGGGTTGGCTGCGCATGCTCCGAATTTGGAGGCAGAGTTTTTTGTATTATTTTAATAAAGGGATGGTGGGGGGGGCCCTCGTGGTTCTGGGTTGGCTACCAGTCGCCTGGGGGAGGGGGTGTTTATTAATAGGGTTCAGTGATCAAGACACCCTCCGGATAGCAAGCCGCCTAGGTCACTCCCCACCGCCTTCCCAACACATGAGCAACACCCGAGCCTCAGCATGTTCCGCGCTCGTCTTTGGATGGGCAGCTACTGGGAGCCAAAACCGAGCCCATGTGCGCGACGCTGGGGCGATGTGCGCCACGCGTGCCAGGCGCGCCAGGCACCCATGGGGCCCGAGCGTGCCAGGCACGCCTATTGCGCCAAATGCTCCCTCCGGCCGCGCCAGGTGCGCCACGTCTGGGGCACGCGCAAAGTGTGTCAGGTGCGCCTGCGCACGTGGCAGCACACATCGGGAAACATGTCGGCCCCCAGCATCCCTGTCGACAACCAATGCCCATCATTGTGTCTGGTGGGCCTGCGCACAGCAGGCCAGACGCCACCACCCCCGACGTCCCTGACAAAAACCATTTGACAATGATCGCGGGGTGGCCGCGCACTATTCACATTTAGCCGCGAAATGCATTTTGTATTGTGTGTATGTCAGGGATGGTAGCCCGGCGCGCAGCAGGCAATATGATGACACCCCCGCCGTCCTTGCCGAAAAACAAAACAAAGTGCCCGCGGGCCTCACGAACATGACTCCAGACTTTGCCCCAAAGTGTGCCGTGTATTGTTTTTTGACAGGGATGGTGGCGGGGGGGGCCCGCATCGGGTTGGTTGCGCATGCTCTAAATTTGGAGGCGGAGTTAGTTTCGCATTGTTTTTTGAAAGGGATGGTGGGGGGGGCCCTCATGGTGTGCGCATGGTTCCGGGTTGGCTGCTGGCCGGGTGGGGGAGGGGGTGTTTATTAATAGGGAACAGTGATCAAGACACCCTCCCCACCCGCAAGCTATCTCGCTCACTACCAGCCGCCCTCCTAACACAGAAGTAGCACCCGGGTCTCAGCATGTTCAGTAGTCGTCCTCGGATGGGAAGCACATGTGGATCAAATCAGATCCTATGTGCGCACCGCTGAGGCGAGGTGCGCCACGCGTGCCAGGCGCGCCACGCGCGTCAGGTGCGCCAGGCACCCCTGTGTCCCGAGCGTGCCAGGCACGCCTGGTGCGCCACATGCGCCACGTGATCCATGTGCGCCATGTGTGCTGCACGCTTCAGCTGCGCGCGAGTGCCCAGTACGCCTGCGCACGCGGCAGGATGCATCGGGAACCGTGTCGGCCCCCACCCTGGTCGAAAACGAGTGCGCAATCGCGGCGGGGTGGCCATCATAGTGTCTGGTGGGCCTGCACACAAAAGGCAGTGTGCCGGCACCCCCGCCGTCCCAGTCAAAAGCCCATGCACGGTGATCGCGGGGTGCCCGCGCATGAGATACAGATTTTGCCTCGAAGTGCATGTCGCAACTTTTTTGACAGGGATATTTCCCTGCGCACAGCAGGCAATATGCGGGTACCCCCGCCGTCCCATGAAAATGCCGTTTATCATGGCACTGAAAATAATGACGCCAGCGCTGCAGCGGGAGCACGATTCGGCACAAGCGGAAGCGTGGGAATGAGGCCAGCGCTGCAGCGGGAGCGCGATTCGGAACCAGCAGAAGCGCGGAAATGAAGCCAGCGCTTCAGCGGTCCACGATTCGGAACGAGCGGAAGCCCGAAAATAAGGCCAGCGTTTCAGCGGGAGCAACATGTTGAAAAACAGCACAAGCGAAAACCCTGTTCCAGGGAATCCTGTGTGTAAAAAACGGTACGCGGAGGGGGGCCGGATATCTTCTACGTAATCAGGGGAGAGAGGAGAGTAGTATTCATATTGTGGAAGGATTATTAGAGGGCAGTGATAAACACCTCCCCGAAGGGGAAGAGGGAAAGATGGCAGAGACAGCAGGCTAAACCACCTTCGCCCAGAGGGCTGGTGGAATGCACAACCTGCCTCGCCACAGTCCGATCTATTCTTTCTTTGACTTGTTGAGATTTTGGCAAGCTCCGTCCCAGATCAATGGGCGCCGCAACATGCAGTACGCCTCGATGCGCCAATACCTGAGGGAGAACCGCGTATCAATGCAGGATGGCTTGATATGGATTTTGCGCAAGCATGTGCGCGTATTTGCGCGCACGGGGCTGTTTATCTGGTTGACCGAAGAATCCCAGTACGCGCATGCCCATTTCCTTGTCGGGGAACGCGTGCTGCCAGCTGCGTGTTGCACGTTATTCTGCACACGCGCATGCAGGTATATGTACACGCATGCGCAGGTGACACGTTTACGCGTGTGCACTTAAAGGTGCGAAGGAGGCTTCTTGCGCACAGGAGAAGCGCCAGGAAAGTTGGGATGGCGTAGGCTGGGATGCTAACGTTGCGGGCTCCTGGCCTGATGGAGGTCGTGCAGGGACCGCCCCGAGCTTTCTGAAACAGCCGCGCCTCTGCAGCTGGCCGTGCGAGTCCGGCACTACCTCCAGCAGAGCGAGAGGGCTCCTCGTGGACGGCAAGAGCAGAGGGAGAGAGGTCGGGCAAGCGGGCAGAGCGGCCTGCAGTGGTGCAGCAGGATAACGAGGGGCAAGAGGAGGAGGAGGGACGACCGAGCGAAGGTGTAACGTAGGTCAGCGAACAGTTCACTTCTGTTGCCGACGCCGCTGGTACCTGCTTCGGTGGTGACCAGGGCACCAGAGTATGTGCCGCTTGCCGCGCGTGTTTCATATCCGCCGACGCGGCCACCCAGGCCGCCCGGGAGGAGGAGGAGGAGGAGGAGGAGGAGGAGGAGGAGGAGGAGGAGGAGAGGAGGAGGAGGAGGAACAGGAGGAGGAACAGGAGGAGGAGGTGGACGAGGAACAGGAGGAGGGGAGGAGGGGAGGAGGAGGAGGTATCGACTCACAGAGCGTGGACGAGGAGCAGTAGCCACAGATAATGATCGATGATGTAGGATCGGGCGGGGTATCGGGTGGGCCCAAGACCTGGATGAATCGGCCGAGCGTGCCCCGAGCTGCCCTCAGAGCGCTCCGGAGCGGTCCGGGAGAACGCCAACGGCGGTCGGCCCCAGAGCCGCTGGATTCCAGAGATCCCTTGATCAATCCCGATCCGGCTTCGTGGCGATCCTGGCTCGTCTTCGGGGAGAGGGGGCGGAGGGAGGTCGTGGGGCGCGAGCCGCGCCCGTGCCCAGGCTCGCCAGACGCGGCGGGTCTGGCGCGACGTGGAGCTGTTTCAGGAGCTGCCGGAGGCCTCTGCCGCTCCCGCGGCCGCGCTGCGCCCTGCAGACGACCCAGCGTGTGCTCTGTAAGAACGGTTTTTTGAAGGCAGATCTGCCTTCAAAAAATGGTTTTTTGAAGGCAGATCTGCCTTCAAAAGACCGTTCTTACAGAGTAGACCATTTTTTGAAGGCAGACCTGCCTTGAACAAAACCGTTCTTACAGAGCATACATGTCCCCGAGAGGAAAGGGGTGCCCCCCCGACCTCCGACGATGCGGTTCTCTCAGCTCTCTGGCGTTTCTCCCTGCTGTCGGTGGGGGGCCTGCCAGTGGGCCCCGAGACCATAAGAAGCGAGTCCGACGCTGAAAACGTACCCGAGGGAAGGGGGCGGGGGAGGGGGGAAGTCAAGCTAGGTGCGCTCGCGTCATATCTGACGTCCTACCCCTCCCTCCCATCCCTTACCATGGCGCTGATTTTCTCTATCCGCGGGGCGGGGGAGGGGGGAAGTTCAGGGGACAACTCGGCTTGATGGGCTTATCCTTGGGCCCCGACGGGTCCGGGACGAAAAACTATAACTACCTTGGGGAGGTGGAGCCGCGGCCCAAAGCATTTGTGCAGAGATGCGCCTGCCTGAACAAAAGGTCACGATCCATTGAGAAAGAGCATGACCATAGCCTCGTCCCAGGAGTGTGACGGAGGCGAAGTGGGGGGCCCCATCTTTGGGGGAGCAGCACAGGGGTGGCCAAGACTGGCCGCAGACTCGGACTTCTCTTCGGGTCCCTTCGCGGTTCGACGTCTTCTCGGCAAGGATTGCGTCCGATTGCAGACGCAGTCGGAGTCGATTTCAGCGTCAGTTTCCCGAGCACTTCTTCCTGCCTTCCTGCCCGCTCACGCCTGCCCGAGAAGAAGCAGGCAAGAGGAGACAGTGACATCGGAGAGGTGTTGTGCGGGAATGAGGACGAGGAGGAGGAGGAGGCGCCATATCGTCTCAGGCAGCAGTGGCGTGATGCATAGGACCCTTCCTCTCGGTCGATGCACGCATGCTCCACCGTGGCATATGTATGTGTTTACCTTTGTACATCGATGCTGCCACTGCTGCCAGAAGTCCGAGCGTCCGCTGCTAGTGTGCTCCATCTTTTTGCTGCCAAGACAGCAGGCCTTGCCCTGTCTCCCTCCTCGCGGGAGGCCAGTGTGTACACTTGGTCTACCGCGCGGCAGACCTGCTTGATGCTGTTATGTCTTCTTCGGCTGGCCCCCCTCCTCTCATTGATCAGTGGTTCCGTTGATTCGGGTACCTGAAGGATCGGGGGGGTGCGCCCGGGGTCAAGTTCGCCTCGTCGGTGCACCGCGCGGGGGTGGGGGTTCTTTTCGGCGTCCGGGGTTCTGCTCGCGACGGGGGTCAGCTTCGACTTGTCGGCGTTCGCTTGCACGCGGGTTACACTTGGAAGGGATTACGTAGCATCCCGCAGTTGCGGATAAGAGTGAGGGGGCGGCGGGGACGTCTGCAGTCTGCGAGGCTCCGAAGAAACATTTCAAGCTATACAACGAGCCCGCCGCAGGCGCCGATTTTTTGGTTAGAACGATGTAGGTGGGTCGCGGATTGGGTCGCAGGTGGGTCGCGGGTGGGTCGACGGTGGGTCGCGAGTGGGTCGCGGGCCAGGTCGCGGGTGGGTCGCGGGTGGGCCGCGGGTGGGTCGCGGGTGGGTCGCGAGCGGGTCGCGGGGTGGGTCGCGGGGTGGGTCGCGGGTGGGTCGCGGGTGGGTCCCGGGTGGGTCGCGGGGGGGACGATGACAACAACAAACAACAACAACAACAACAACAACAACAACAACAACAACAACAACAACAACAACAACAACAACAACAACAACAACAACAACAACAACAACAACAAACAACAAACAACAACAACAACAACAACAACAACAACAACAACAACAATTACTAGCACGTGGGGACACTCCGTTCTCACCAGTGCCAGGGTTTTCATAGGAGGCGGGCAATACCCCCACTTTGTGGGGGGGCCGGTTCAAGCTCTACCAAATTTCCAAACGACTCTTCGCCACCACCCACACCCAGCTTCCCGCCCTATGACGTTCGGACACTTCACTTCGTGGCATGCGGACGACCGTGGCTACTATTCAGGGCCCCGCGGCCGACGACGACGGCGTGCGCGCGCGAAGAAAAAACGAATGTGTCCCGCATGGTATTATTTGACAGGGATGATGGCCCTGGCAGGTGCGCAACCGTTGTTGCAGAAGTTCGAAAAAGTTGCTCGCAAAAGCCCGTTTGACAGAAATGTTCAAAAAGTGTTGGGTTTCCTACGAATCCGCAAGAGCGCGCGGGATGAATTTTGACATTTTTTTTTGAACAACCATTGGTTTTTTGATGTTTTTATGTTAAAATCGCTACGAAAACTAAGGTTTTGGAAGGATTTCGTCTTGCGCGCGCGAATGTCCACTTTACCTTATTTTTTGCAAGGGATTATTGAAGTTTGGTTATGTTAGAACAAGAAATGTCCACTTTAGCTTATTTTTTGCAAGGGAAAACCGCCCGTAACAAAACAACCGGATCCGGACCAACCCGTTTTGCCTGAGACTTCCTCACGAAAATGATGAAAACGTGGCTGCGGCCTAGGCGCGGCGGGGGGGCCATGCACCAGGGGTCCCAACAATAATTATTCTTTAGAATTAATAATGTTCAACAACAACAACAACACCACCAACAACAACACCAACAACAACAACAACAACAACACCAACAACAACAACAACAACCACAACAACAACAACACCACCAACAACAACAACACCAACAACAACAACACCATCAACAGCAACACCACCACCAACAACAACCATAAAAACAACAACAACACCAGCAACAACAACAACACCAACAACAACAACAAAAACAGCAACACCAGCAACAACAACAACACCGGCACCAACACCAACAACAACAACAACATCAACAACAACAACAACACCAACAACACCAATAACAATAACAACAACAACAACAACAGCAACAGCAACAACAACACCATCAGCAACAACAACAACACAAACAACAACAATAACAAAAACAGCAACACCAGCAACAACAGCAACACCACCAACAACAACACCAACAACAACACCACCACCAACAACAACATCAGCAGCAACAACAGCAACACCACCAACAACAACAACACCAACAACAACAACAGCAACACCAACAACAACAACAACAGCAACAGCAACAACCACAGCAAAAACAACGACATCGCAACAAGCATAATCCTTACCACGGATCCGCACTTAAGCCGCGCACCCAGGGACAGTGAATGACCGTTCGGCCCCCTCACTTTGACCTAGTTGGCGATTGCGGGTGTGTTCGGGGCCATTCGAAGGCCCTGGTGCGCCGGGGAGGGGCAGCCCTGGGCATCATTGAGGCTATCTTGGCGCAGCGTCGATGCCCTTTTGGAACCTTGTCAGATCATCTGGCTCTTCTGGGGCCTCTCGGGTGCAGCCAGGCCCACCGTGGGCCACGGAAATGTCTCACAAGCTCTGGGGTATAGTCTTGAAGGACATGTGAGGCTGCGGGAAGCCATGGGAGGACCTAAGAGACTTCAGGAGGCTCTGGGGGACTTCTCAACAATATTAATTTTCAAGCGTGCCCCCACGTGGACACAAGGGACCCTATCTTGTGTGCGGCTCGTGATGATAGTGATGGTGATGTTGATGATGATGATGGTGATGATGATGATGATGATGATGATGATGATGATGATGATGATGATGATGATGATGACGAGGAGGAGGCGGAGGAGGCGGAGGAGGAGGAGGAGGAGACAGGATATGCCCAGCAGCGCCAATAGGCAGTACTTGTACCAGGAACAGTGTCAGCAGGAGGAGGAGGCTGCAATATCGAGGTGCTGCAGATGGAGTTGCGCTACGAGGTGTACGCTCGGCTCATTGCCAGGCCAGCCGCACCGCACCTGCCACAGGGATCGGGGCGCTGGAACAATTACATACTAGTATCATTGTTCACAAGAGCCCCCCAATATAGGAAGGAAAGGAATTGGGAGGACGAGGAGGGGGGAGGAGGAGCATGTAGTACAGGCGTTGTCCCATTTTTCGTTTGGAACTGTGCACGTGCATGTGACCAAGAATTCACATTGCCGAATACGCGTACATGGTCGGGCAGCATGTCTCCTGAACCACGTGACTTACAACCAGATCATGCATACACACCTGTAACCCTAGCACGGGTCATGTGAACAAGGCTTATAAGCAGATGCGACCATACTCCGAGCCGACGAGGTTTGATGGCCTGTGCACCATGGACCACTCTATCGCGGCTGATGAGCTATCGCGGGGACTGCGGGGAAACCTCGTGCGTGACACTGCTCGACCGGTACGCGGGATTCCTCGCAAGCCAGAGCATTGATGTCAAGTCGGCTTGGAGGGAGGGGTAATTCCAACATGCATCGTTGATGACTCGTGGGTTTACACTGGTCCTCCTCCTCCTCCCTCCTCCTCCTCCTCCTCCTCCTCCTTCTCCTCCTCCTCCTCCTCCTCCTCCTCCTCCTCCTCCTCCTCCTCCTCCTCCTCCTCCTCCTCCTCCTCCTCCTCCTCCCCCCCCTGCTCCCTCCGCCCTCCCTGCCCTTGTCTGGTCCACGTCCTGGCCCTGGGAGGCGGCAGGGACTCTCAGGAGCCCTCCGGCCTCCTGAGAGAAGCGGCTTCGTTCAGAAGGGCGCCTCCTCAGAAGGCGCCCTTCTGAGCCCCCGATGGGCGCCCATCGGGGGCTTCAAGCCCCCGATGGCTCTGGAGAGGGCGCCTCCTCAGAAGGCCAGGGTTGGCCTCCCGACGGGGGGGGCAGGCCCCCTCGAGAGGCGGCAGGGCTTCTCGGGAGCCCTCCGGCCTTCTGAGGAGCCCCCGGTGTCTGTGGAGAGGGCTCAGCGCGCCTCTCGGGAGGCCAGGGGACGGCCTCCGGAGCCTTCCGAGGAGGCCCGCCCCCTCTGCCTTCTCCCCTGGGCGCGCTGCCGATGCTCGTCGTCTCCCCCGCGGCGCTCCTGCCGGTGCCTCAGGGGTGGGGTCCTGAGGGATGGGGTCCTCCGGATCGGAAGGGGCCCTGAGGGTGGATCTGCGCTGTCTGAGGCACCTCGTCCCTCAGGACCCCCTCCTTCAGGACCCCGCGCCGTGTTCGCACGCAGGATCTCAACCGTTGCACTCTCTCTCGTTCCCCAAGCAGTGCTCGCCCTGGGTGCTCTTCATGCTTCTCTTGCTCCTGCACTGAGCCGGGCCCCGCCGCCGGGGTCCGCCGCCCCGTGGTCGCCGTCGCCGCCGCGTGCCGCCCCGTCGCCCCGTGCCGTCTGCCCGCCGCCCTGGGAGCCGCCGAGCTCGGCGAGGCACCCGTTCTTCCACCAGTACGGCGAGCTGGACCCCTCGGCGATGAAGGCCCTGTGCCACCGCGCCGTGCGCGAGGTGCCGCTGGTGTCCGGCCAGGAGCTGTTCGGCCCCGGGCAGGTGGCGGACAGGACGGCGCGCGGGCGCGTGCTCGCGGGCAGGAGCACGGGGGGGGGGGCAGGCTGATCGGGGGGCAGGGGACGCCTCAGGAGGCGACGGGCGTCGAAGAAGAAGAAGGAGGAGGAGGAGGAGGAGAGGAGGAGGAAGAAGAAGGCGCTGCGGTGGGGGCGTCCGTGGAGGACTGTGCCCAGGAGGCTTCAGACCCTGGAGGATTCCTTGTCTGATGAGGGCGGCGGTGATATCCATGGCCAGGCCTCAGTTGATGTTCCGCCGGCTTCCAGACCCTGAATTTCTTTTCTAATGGTTCCTTATCCAATGTCCCCCCCTGTACGTACAAATCCATTTTCGGAGCTCTGCGCAGATTGCTCAGATCGGCGCTGGATCCCCCTGGCGGCGCCTCGGGTGCCGCCCCTGGCGCGCTCCGCGCGCCAGTGAGGGGACTCCAGCGGCGATCCAAGAAATCCGCGCGAAGCCCCGGAAGTTTCTGCTTATGAAGTGTTGCTCGTCTTTGGGAGAGGCAGCGGGAGTTGAGATTCCTCATCTCGGAGGGCGGAGGGGGGACGAGGAGACGGGCTGGCACTGCCCGCCGTGCGCTCGAGGCGGCCCGAGCCGAGCGTTTCGACGGGGCATTGGTTGACACCGCGAGTCCTCCATCGTCCAGGAGACTATAATTATTTCGGGGGTGCGCGTCGTGAGCCACAGCATCACGACTCCTCCGTGGTGTCATCTCGCTCTGTGAACAAAGACAAAGCGAATATCGTGCGCTGGAGGACAGAGAAATTAAACATGGGTCGACATGTAAGGCTGTAAGGCGGCACGGGAAGTCCACGCTCCCGACCACCAGCCACCTTACTGCTGTCCCCCTAGTGGGCACCGTCCGCCGCGCGGCTCCGGGAAGCGTTGTCGGCACGCTCGGGCCCGCTGTGGGAGCTTTGGGCGGCGAAGCCCATGCCAAGGGTCGCCGCTTGGGCCCGCGAGCCCGATGCGGTCGATCACACGCGGATCGAGCACCGGTTCAGAGAGCCGGCAGCCCACCGGTCTCAGCATCGCCGTGGCCCGAGGTGATGGTTCAAGCAGTGGCGAAGCGTCCTGGCTCGCCTATAGCCCTACCAAACAATGTTCTAAGAACCTTTTGTGGTTCCCACGAAATGTTCTTAGAACATTTCTGGTTGAGATTGTTTTGCTTTAACACATCGGGCTTATGTTCTAAGAACATTGTTCTTAGAACATTGTTGGGCTCTAAGAACATTTCGTGGTAGGACTATAGGAATGCTGGGACGGTCGGCCCCTGCTCAAATGGTGATGAAGCTGATGGTGATGATATCGATGGTGGCAGTGATTACGCTGTCGATGTTGACGACGATGGTCCTGGGGAGGCTGATGAGGAGCTGCGCGCGCAAAAACTTGACGAGGGTAGCAACATCGACGTTGATGATGACGACGGTGATGAGGATGATGACGACGATGCTGATGATGATGACGATGATGGTGATGATGATGATGATGACGACGATGACGACGATGACGACGATGACGACGACGATGGTGTTGGTGATGGGCCCGCATTGCATTGTCTGACAGTTGAACGTATTGGACATGCGCGCGCGTGTGGCGGGCAAACTTTCACTTGGCAGGACGGTCAAAGCCATTTGGCCGTCTCATGTTTCCAGCGAGTGCCCGTGCATAATTTGTGTTTCTGTTGACGAACAACGGCTTCCAATAGTTTGTGTTGAGCTATGTCTTGAATTGGTTATGGAGCAACTGTGTTGACATGCGCGAGCGGCGGCGCGCGCATGTGCCCGGTATGGTACTTATTGCGCAGGGGGTTGTTACAACACGCATTTCTTAGACACGTATCAGCACCGCATTGTGTTATTTGACAGGGACTGCGGGGGGGTTGATACCCAGACTGCCTGGGAGGATTTTACTTGACATTTCGGATCCACGATTGCGCGTAGTTTTGATAGCTACGAGTAGAACAGCATCCCGAGGGGGACGGCCAATCCCCGCCTCGGTGGGTGGGTCGAGCCGCACCTCTCCTGGGGCAGAGAACCCACGCGGTGCAGCCGATTCGGCGCGCGCGGGGCACCCGCGAAGCGTTCACGGGGTGCCCGGCTGGCAGACACCAAAGAGCACCGCTGGCGCACGGGCGTCCGCCCACGGGCGCACGCCGGCCGAGGACCCAGAAGAAACCCAGCGAGCGCACGGGGCGCCCACGCGGCACCCGCGGGGCGCCCACCAGTCGAACACCCAGAGAATCCAGCCGGCGCACGGGGCGTCCGCGCGGCGCTCAAGGGCGCCCGCCAGGCGAAAACCCAGAAGGTTTGATAACACCTTTGAAACAAGGGAACGTGCGGCGTTCGAAGGGCAAGCGCCGCTGAGGGTAATACTCGTTCCCATGGTGTGCGAGCACGGCCTCTACCTGTTGTGCTCGATGCGCATCCCCAAGATGAGTGGAGCGCTCCCCCGAGCATTCTTCTGCAGATTCGCCCCTCGGGCCATTCTCCGGACCACGGGTGCAAGCAAGTGGCACGCACGCCCTGGCTCGTGCACGATGAAGGGCGAGGGCCATGCGAGGCGGGGTGGGGAGAGGGGGATGTGTGGGGGGTTCTGGGTGCCAGGACACAGCCGTGCCAGATAATCAAGAGTTCCGCGGCCCCGGGGGTTAGGTGGCGGGGTCCAGGGGTGCCAGGGGTGGGCCCCGCGGCCCATAAGGAAGGAGGCCAGGGAGGTTCAGGGGAAAACCGAGCGACAGCGACAACACACATAAAGAGTTCTGCCCAGGGACGTGTGGGGCGGGGCCCAGGGGGGCTGGGGGGTGGGCAAGGGTGTGCTGCGCGGCCCAGAAGGGAGGAGGCCAGGGAGGCCCAGGGGGGAGGACGAACGGCAAGGATAATAAAGGGTTCCGCAGCCCAGGGGCGGGGGCGGGGACTGGGGGGTGCCAGGGGTGGGCTCCGCGGCCCAGAGCGGACGAGGCCAGGGGGGCCTAGTGGCGAGGATCGGCGGCAGCTAGACCATAATGAAGGGTTCCGTGGCCCAGGGGCGGGGGCGGGGCCCAGGAGGCCAGGCGTGGGCTCCGCGGCCCAGAGTGGATGCGGCCAGGGAGCCCCAGGAGTGGGAGGACGAACGACCAGGACAATGACGGGTTCCGCGGTCCAATGTCGGCTCCGCGGCCCAGAGGAGAGGCGGCCGAGCCAGGGGCGGGCTCCGCAGCCCAGTGGCCCAGAAGGGATGAGGCCAGGGGATCCCGGGGGGGGAGGGCGACTGGCAACGAACAGAAATGGTTCCGCTGCCCAGGGGTGGGGGCGGGGCCTGGGAGATCTAGGGGTGGGCTTTGCGGCCCAGCCCAGAAGAGAGGCGGCCAGGGATGATTGGGGGAGGGCGAACGACAACGAAAACACAAAGTTCCGCGGCCCTGCGGGTGGCGGGGCCCAGGGGTGCCAGGGGGGGATCCGCCCCCACAGTGGAGGCGGCCCAGGAAGGCCAAGGGTCAGGGGGGCGAGCGACCAGGCTGGGCTCCGCGGCCCAGAGTGGACGATGCCAGGGATGCCCAGGGGGTGTGGACGAACGATCAAGAAAATCAAGGGCTCCGCGGCCCAGGGGCGTGGGCGGGGCCCACGGGGGCCAGAGGTGGGCTCCGTGGCCCAGAAGGGAGGATGCCAGGGAAGCCCAGGGGGGGGGACGATCGACAACGAGCACAGCGGGCTCCGCGGTCCAGATTGGGTTGGGGGTGGGGGTGGGGGGCGTTGCGGAGGCAGGGGCGGGCTCCGCGGCCCAGAAGGGGAGCGGCCCAGCCAAGGGCGGGCGCCGCGGCCCAGCGGCCCCCAGAACGGATGCGGCCAGGGAGGCCCAGGAGGGCGGACGAACGGCAGCGAGCCGAAAGGGTTCCGCGGCCCAGGGGCGCCAGCGGGGCCCAGGGTGGAGGACGAGCGGCAACGGAAATAACGGGCTCCGCGTGCCAGAGGGGGAGGGCCGGGGTTGGGCGGGGGCAGGAGCGGGCTCTCCGCGGCCCAGCCGTCCAGGTCGGACGAGGCCAGGGAGGCCCAGGAGCGAGGACGGACGAACAGCAAGGATAAGAAGTGGCACGCGTGCCCTGGCTCTCAGCCCTAAGGGAGCGGCGAGGGAACTGCGAAGCGTGGGGGCCAGGAGGTGCAAGAGAGGCAGGGAGTTCCGAGATGGCCAGGGGGGCGAGCGACGATGGCGAAAGTCAGAGGCCCCGCGCCACAGGGCAAGGCCACTAGGGCCAGGAGTCATGGGCCAGGAGGTCAGGGAGGTTCGAATTGGCCCATGAGGCGGTCGGTGTCGAACGACGCTCCGCCCAGGAGCCAGGGCCAGGGCCCAGGAGCAGGGCCAGGGGGGGCGAGCCCTTAGATGGGGGGGGGGGGAGGGCCAGGGCAGGGCCAGGGGAGGCCAGGGGAGGCCAGGGGAGGCCAGGGGAGGCCCGGGCTACCACCCAACCACCCAGGAGCCAGGGCCAGGGAGAAGGCAGGGGAGGCTGGAGGAGGGGGGAGGGCGGAGAGGGCAGGGCCAGGGGCGGGGGCGGTGCCCAGGAGGGCCAAGGGTGGGCTCCGCGGCCCAGAAGAGGGGAGGCCAGGGATGCCCAGGGGGAGGCCCAGGGGGAATGCCAGGGAGGCCAACGCCGAAGGGCGTACAACCACGAACATACAAGGTGTCGAAGCTCTAGAACACGATTGTGTAGAACACAAGTGTGCGAGAGAGTAACGGGTTCCGCAGCCCTACGAACAACAGCCAAAACGAAGGGCCCCGCGACCCAGAGGGAGGAGGGGGGGCGGAGCCAGAGGTGTGCTCCGCGGCCCCGCGGCCCCGAACGGATGAGGCCAGGGGTGCCCGTCCAGCGGGGAGGCCGAACGGCAGCGTAAATACAGGGTTCCGCTGCCCAGGGGCGGGGGCGGGGCCCAGGGATGCCAGGGGTGGGCTCCGCGGCCCAGAAGGGGGGAGGCCAGGGAGGCTCAGGGAGAGGCCCGGGGGGGAAGACGAACGACAAACAACGAACATACAGAGGTCGGAGTTCTCGAACACAGCACTGCAGGATACTGCAGAGGAACATGACGGCCATTCAGAGGTCTGGGGCAGTCTGGTGAACGCACGGTCTCGTGAGCCCGCCATCTTTGGGAACGTTTATTGTGTCGATCCCAGAGGGCCCGCGAAGGTCAAGAGGGCCCTGGAAAGATCATGAGGGTGTGTAGCGGTCAAGGGAGGCGGATAAGGACGATCATCTGTCGGTAGATGGTCTCTGGAGGCTTCACCATCCAGGTTGTCAGTTGGCGAGCAAAGGAGATTCGGCCAGAACACACGCTTACGGTTCGGACGAGGCAAAGACGCATGCCCTGCGTTACCTGGCGCCAGAGAAAACAGCAGCTCTCAGCCCCCCTGGAGCCAATCCCGCCAGGGAATCCAGGGCCCGTCTTCGAGAAATCGTGCCACGAAGCGATTCGATGAGAGAGATCTTTTCGCGTTGGGGGGCCCTCGGGGGACACCCTTGGACAGGGCTAGGAGGATAACTCCGTTCCAGAGCGTTCCGGAACGCTCTCAGAGCTTTCTGGAATGCTCAGAAGGCCGCGGCGCCCGAGACATGTTCCAGAGCCGCCAGATTTCAGAGATTCTCGATGCATCCTCACCCGATGTTTTCCTCGTCCTGGCTTTGTCTTACATCTCTTTTGCCCAGAAGCCGATTCTGGTGGACGACTTGCTCCTGGTGCGGCGGAGAGGGGGATGATGACTGGGGGGGGGGTGGATATCATGGCGTGGGCCATGATATTTCCCCAGGTTTCGTGGCGCCCCTCCTTTTCTCCTCACGTCCCTGGCTCCCCCCCTCGGGCCGCGCACGTGCCGCCAGCCACGATTTGCGCCCCCCCTCTTGGACGCCCCCGACTGCTCCCTGGGAGCCTGCCGAGGTCCCCAGGAGCCGCCCCGCGGGCGAGGGGCGCGCCGCGTCCCGCAGGATGTACTTCGTGGTCGACGGCAGCCTGAGCTACGACTTCCAGGGCTTCGGCTCCTCCGAGGAGGGTGCGCCCTCCCGCTGCCTGCCCCGCGGAGGAGGAGGGGGAGGGGGAGGAGGGGGAGGAGGGAGGAGGAGGAGGGGGAGGAGGAGGGAGGAGGGAGGAGGAGGAGGAGGAGGAGGAGAGAGGAGGAGGGAGGGGGGGGGAGTGAGGAGGAGGAGGAGGAGGAGGAGGAGGAGGAGGAGGAGGAGGAGAGGAGGAGGAGGAGGAGGAGGAGGAGGAGGAGGAGGAGGAGGAAGGAGGAGGAGGAGGAGGGAAGAGGAGGAGGTGGAGGAGGAGGAGGAGGAGGACATTTTTGTTTGGCATTCACTTCGGGGTGACACTAATCAAGGCGAGATGACTTAGTCAGCGACCGACCTTCGGACCAAGCCCAAAGCGTTGCCGATGCAAAAGCGGCTCCACCGGACCCACCCTTAGAGGAGGAGAAGAGGAGGAAGAGGAAGGGAGGACACGGAGAGAGAAGGGAACGCTGGAAATATTGGGACGTATGCCTGTGCCGAACCTGTCCCGCGGCAGTATTGGCTCATCCGTCTTCTAGCTCGTGCCTGAGCTCAAACACGGTAGAAAACGGGATTAGGTTACATAAGATGATCGCGCTACCCCGTCTATAGTTTGGGGGTTTCCATTTGCTGGCGCGACTCTAGTTGGCTTTTGCCCTGTCGGTTTCCTTGAGGGGGATGCATTGGTTATCTAAGCCCTGCATTCTGGCTCCCTCAGAGTAGCTACCACACGCACGACAAATAATATGGATATCCGTAGGGTGCTCAGAAAGATACAACGTGTGAACACGCTGGTCATGAAATAGGCTGCGAAGAATAGGTGAAGCGCCATGGCACCCTAAGTCAGGGGTTGGAGGATGGCAGAACAAACGACCATCTAGCCTCTCAGCAGGGTCCTGCCTGGGACGGGTACTGCGGCGCTGACAGTGCAGGCAAGTCCAAACATCTTCTGGACGCCACCTCCAAACATGGTGGTTCGGGCCGTCTCCAACGGCCTCTTGCAGCACAGGAGGAGGAGGAGGAGGAGGGTCCAGACCTGCGGCGCCAGCTGCTGGCCGATGCGTCCTGAGCCGCTGTAGAATATGCTCAGGAGCGCGAGGACCCAATGCATCTATAACGAAACCTGCACTCCCCTGAATCCTAGCAGGCCGAACTCGCTCCAACTTCCCTTTGGGAGGTTTGGGGAAGAGAGGCAGGGCTTCAGGGATAAGCTTACGAAACTTCTTCAGGACTTCGCCTTGAGACTCCCACAATTCTACCTCTTGTTTGCTGGGCTCACTGTGCAATTTTGCACTTAGCTTTGCTGCTGAATCTGCTTCTTCATTCCCCCTGGCCTTGTACCAGTCGGACGAAGAGGGCTCGAAGTCATCGGGGTTCACATGGGCCTTTGCCTTCGGGATCTCGAAACCTGGTGGGGCCCGCCCGAGGGTGATGAGCCTTTTATGCCTGAACAATCATTCTTGCTGTGGAGGCTTATCTGGCGAGGCCTAGCCGCCATCCCCGAAGATCCCGAGCACTTCCCCAGGACCGGCTTTCCGTCCCGAGTCGTCTTTGGAGGGTCCCAGGGCCCAGCGAGGGCCCCCTTGAGGCTGGCAACGGCCAAGAGCCGCCCGCTCCGAGGGGGAGGAGGAGGAGGGGGAGGAGGAGGGGGAGGAGGAGGAGGTGGAGGAGGAGGAGGAGGAGGAGGAGGAGGCGAGAGGAGGAGGAGGAAGGAGGAGGAGGAGGGGGAGGAGGAGTCGAGACGAGCCCCAGCAACTCCAGAGCAGCCAGGGGGAGCTGTTCTGGCACCCGGGGGCAACGGCACCACTGCGAGCGCCGCCGCGTGCTCCCCCGCCGGGGGGGGGGGGGGGGAGGTTTGCGGGGGCTCGCCCCCCGCTCTCCCGAGTACAGCCTGCCCCAGAGGACTCCCTCGGGCGCCAGCTTGGAGACCCCCCCATGCTGCTCGCTGATGCTGCTCGGCACCGTCTTTGGAGCAGCTGCCGTCCATAGGTGCCTCTCCTCCCATTACCCCCTGGACCCGGGGAGGTTTGCGGGAGCTCGCCCCCCGCTCTCCCGAGTATAACCCGCCCCAGAGGACTCTTTCGGGCGCCAGCTTGGAGACCCCCCCTGCTGCTCGCTGATGCTGCTCGGCACCGTGTTTGGAGCAGCTGCCGTCCATAGGTGCCTCTCCTCTCATTGCGCCCTGGACCCGGGGAGGTTTGCGGGAGCTCGCCCCCCGCTCTCCCGAGTATAACCTGCCCCAGAGGACTCCTTCGGGCGCCAGCTTTGAGACCCCCCATGCTGCTCGCTGATGCTGCTCGGCACCGTCTTTGGAGCAGCTGCCGTCCAGAGGTGCCTCTCCTCCCATTGCCCCCTGGACGGCTTCTCCCGGACAGGTCCGAGACTCAAGCATGGCGATGCCGAATTTCGACGGAGCGACGACGGCTGGTGAAGGACACGCCCTGAAACCAAGCAGGAGGTGATGCTTGTGGTCTGGGTGAAGTAAGACGTCCATGTCCGCGCTGCAGAACCACTTCTCCCTGGCTGTTCCGCTGCACCCCCAGCACCGATGAAATGAACTATCCGATTGGGCTCCACATAAAGGGCAAAGTGGATCAACACAATAGACGAGAATATGCAGCCTTGAACTAGACCAGGAAGTGGGAGAGATCTGCCCTGTGAACCAAGGGCCTTGTCACTCAGTATCTTAGCTGGACTCGAGTCTAGGGTCTCGCCCAGTAATTCGAGCTTGTCTGCTGCAAGGGAACATGTTTGTAAACGCCATTGTTCCTTCATGAAGCAATGAATCATATGCGGGGCGAGTCGATTAAATAATAAGCCAAACCATGGGCAGACATACTTGAAGGGCCCATCGAACTCCCACCCAAATCTCTCCAAGGAGTAGTGGGCTGCCCCATGGGGGCCACGGACCGTCGCCCACGTCCTTGGTAAATTGGAGAGCACGGGCTTGGCCAGACGAGCTAAATCAGGTAAGGAAACTGCCTTCTCGCTCCTTTCATCTGTCGTTGCTTTCCACACCACCATCGCCAAAGATAGCGCTGGACCTAGCGCCTGTCTCCACATGGGGTCGTCCATAAGCATTAAGGGTGCAGGTTTCGAACAACTTCTGGAAGGAGACCCGGCAACACTGAGATACTCGTACTGAGCCGTGAGAAGCTCCTTGTGCGTGACTCCCACTACTTCCGAACCGTGGAAACCAAAACTCGGGGGACCAGAAACGAACATGTATTTCATCTCGACCCCCGCCTTCTTCAAAACGTACAACTTAACTTTCCGCTTTTTCAACGCCTCCAAGCGCCTCTGAGTGTAAGAGTAGCCCCACTTTTGCACCTAAGACTGCCTGCGAAGAAATCCATCCCAAGATTTGTAGCTGTTGACCGGTTTGGGGGCGATGTGGGCCCTGCGTACTTACCAAAGGAGGCGGTCAGGAGTAACTTAAGCCTCATGCTGCTTGCAACGATCGCCGACTTGTGCAAGGCCACGCTGCAGTTCATGGCAGAAGCGATCAGCTCCGACAGCCTCGTTATTGACTAAAAATCTCATGCAGTGGATGGAATATATACCTAGGAAATCGTCGATGAAGAGCGTAAGGCCGACACCGGGATTCCTCGCGCTCCACGTGCGTAGGGGGGCAGCGAAAATACTTGAACCAGATAAGTTGCAAAGGAACAGCCTGCTGCAATACCTTTGTAAGGGAAGCTGAGCATGATGCAATTTCCAGAAAACCCAAGAAAACATCTACTGGAATATTGGTCGAGGACTGTGGCAAGCACCGCTAGAGTATATTGCTGCTGTTCTGCTCGTTCCCATAAAATCTCGTGGTCTACGTGCTCGTGATAGTTTCTGAGGTCCCAGAGGAAGGCACCTGTATGGAGCCCGGTTCTGGTTAAAGCTGACGCCTCAGCATGGAGGCTCTGGAGGAACACGAGCTCCATGATAGATCTACCAGCTTGGTGCCCCATCAGGTCGCTCTTGTTTTCGTCTTTCCATTCTCTAGAACTCCCTTCCTGACCCGCGCGTAAATCTTGTAATGGTTGGGGAGAAGCCCGATGCTCCAGAAGCCCAGCCCAACTTTGTCCGGCTTGTGCTTTGTTATCAAATTCGTGCGGATCACGTGGATTTGGGAGGGCAAGATGCCTACCTTTTCGATGATGACTTGTTATCCCCCAAGGGCAAGTGATGGCGCGGATGGAAGCCATCCCAAGTCTGCGCCGTATTCTTCGAACATGTCTTGGCTGCTTCTCTGACTTGTTGGCTGCTGAGATCGGCGAGCTCTTTCCAACTGCCTTCAGGGGCTTGGGAGATTTCTTTGGGGCTGGGCCGGGATTGCCATAGTTTTTCGAGGCGGTGATCCTCGCGTTTTCACAACTTGGTGGGCTTGGTGGATTGGCTCACGTGTCCTCCCGTATCCACCAGGCGCTTACTTTCGCTGATCTTGCTCCACCTGTGGGCCCAACCCGTCCCATGCCCCATAGGTTGCCTAACCCTTTCTTTCCAAGCCAGAGTAGAAACAGACTTGGTTAGCTCCCTCTCCTGGCTGATAGCCTCGTTCAACTGCTCAGTGAAGGTGTCCATGGCGCTACTAACGATGCCCATGTCGAACCTACCGTCCCTGACATCAAGTTCCAAGGCGCTGATGTACGCTACTGCCTGAGAGTGCACCCCTATTCGGGCGGGAATAATGGAATTCTACCGGCGCCTCCTGGAGCTCCAACGCCAATCTGGAGATGGTAGTTGGCTGCCCAAGACCACAGGAAAGTACCGAGGATTCTCTGGAGCTCGGGTCCGAAATCTTCCCGATGGCTCTTGAAACTGCTTGGATCCAACTCTTGATCCAGGTCAAGGGCAGGACGAGACTATGCCAACTCTTCCGTGTCCTATTTTGGGCTTGGCTTCGGGGGATCATCATGATCTTGGGAGGGTCTGCCCGCCGAGAAAGGGGCGAAGAGGTGTGTCTGTTGCTTTGGAGTCGGTCTTTTCGAAGAATTTGGTGAACTTCTTGCATGCTGCGTCAATGAGTTTCCTTCGAACCTGAAGTCTGGTACCATGATCTTCAAATTTAACACAGACCCTATCGAGGGGACAATTCAATTCGGCCCAGTCCACTGATTCAGGGGAGGGCCCAAAGGGCTTCTGCACGGGAAAACTGGGTGGTAAGACCAGAACAGTCGATGGGGAGAGCGAGGAGATACATCTGTGAAAGCCCCATCAATCATATCTGCCAACGGCTTGGACATCACAAAATAGTCAATGACCGAGGCGGAAATCTTAGTGGCGTAGGTCCGGACATCGGGGGAACCAAGTGCATACTATCACGCTCCAAATAAGCGAGCCGAAGAATTCTCACGGGCTTTACGCTGAAGTCCCCTCCACACAAGACTGGTAACCGGTACTTCTCTTGCTGATCTGCAATCCAAGCTAGTACTGATAAGTTGAGCTCGTTTAGCCCTACTCTGGTTTCCAGATGCACCGAGCTTAAGAGACACTTCCCGAAGGACGGAATCTCCAGGATCGCGTTGAGTAAACATGTCCTCAACTACCATAATTCGGATCTTCCGAAATCCCAGAATTTAAGCCCCGGCTAATTAGGACGGCAACTCCTCCTGAGTACCTGCCGCTGGGTAACATGGATGCTGCATTGAAGGTGCCCTGCCAACCACGATCATCACAAAAGTGAGCTGCTTTCTCAATTTCTGCTGGAGATGATCAGGGTCTCCTGCAGTGAGATCATTTGCGATTCTGCCAACCGCTGATGCTCAAGGTTATCCTTGAAGGACCTCCGAGAGTTCACGTCGAGCGTGTGGATCGAGAGTTTCCACGCTTCATGAGTCCGGGAGGAGGAGGAGGCGGAGGAGGAGGAGGAGGAGGAGGAGGAGGAGGAGGAGGATGAGGAGGAGGAGGGGGAGGAGGACGGGGCCAGGCCGAGGATGGACCCGTCCAGAGCGCTCCGGCGGCTCGGCTCCTCCGAGGAGGGCCGCCGGGGGGGCGCAGGCCCCGGGGGCAGCGGGCCCCTCCGAGGTGCTGCGCCGCTCTCGGGCTCCCGGAGGCGGCGATAGGGGGCGGACAGCCCAGGCGAGAGCAGTACACGTATCCCTGTGGAGGGCGATCGATGTTTGAACCATGTTCAAAGCATGGTCAAACATGGAACACCATGTAAAAGAAACATGCTCAAAGCATGTTGAGGGCATTCTTCCGACACGTTCGACACATCTTGAAGTCGACGATCGGACTGTTGGGGTGTCCAGTGTCGTGGCATCCACAGATCTAGGCGGATAGGTGTAATGCCCGCCCCTGGGCCGTTCGCCCTTCGCGTCGCCGCCGAGGCTCCCCGGGCGCCCCCCTCGGGCCCGCCGCGGGCCGTCAGAGAAGGACCAGCTCGGGACGAAGAGCTCGCCCCGGGGGAGGGCCCCACTGCTCTGGGGACCTGCTGCTCCGGGGACCCGTTTTTCTCAACCTTCCGCGGATCGGAGAGGAAAAAGCGCCGGAAACATACGCTGTTGAACAAGCAGCTTAGCCATAATCATAATAATAATAATAGTAATACTACTAATGATGATAATAATAATAATGATAATAATAATCATCATCATCATCATAATAACAATAATAATATTAAGAAGAAGAAGAAGCGGCGACTCGGGGCTCTCTTGGACCATCTCGATGGCTTCTTGGGAGTCTCCGGGCTCTTCTTGGGCCTCTCTGGGAGGCTCCGAGGGCGGCGCTCAGGAGCAAAACCATCTCTGATGGGACCCTGCCTGGGACCTGCCCGGGGTACTTTTCGCCCGGGGGCTCCCAGGGGCCGCCTCGCGCGCGCGAGCTATACATACACACACACACACACATATATATATATATATATACATATATATATATATATATATATATATGTTGGAACACTGTTTACCTGTTACCCGAGATCTTAGGACGCCTCTGGCCCGTTGGGCCGGCCATTCGCATGCCAGTCTTCTTCGACCTGCACGCAGTCCTCGGTTTCCACCTTGTCATGGTGCTCGCCCTTGCCCGTCCCATCAGACGCATCGTCTTTCACGCCCTCTCCACTTCGCTGGCGTGCTTCGCCACTTCCCCTCCACATCCGTTTCCTTGGCATTGCTTCATGCAGGTTTCATGTGGCGTGACATGCGCAGGTTTCCCGTCTAGCTCCCGCGAAGGAAAAAATGCCCTTCCAAATTTCCGTTCGTTTTGAGCGGGCCTGTTGATTTTGCCGCGCGCTGTTAATGGATAAGTCGGTCCCTGTGTACTTTCGCGGTGTGCTCTTCCACGGTCATTGCGTACCTGTTCCCGCTGCTGTCGCGGACCATGCTGCCTCCTGTGATTTCTTATGCGCAGAAGGGGCTTAAAGTTGCAGCTTCGTGTTGTCTTGGCTTGATAGTGTTGGTCGCCGTGGCCTCCATCTATTCACTCACCGCTGCCTGCCGCCTTCGTTCATGCATTGTTTTGCCGTGGTTATTTTAGACACTTGTTGGGCTCATATCGGGGTATCGGGAAACACTTGGCTTTTTGACGCTTACTCCTGTGCGCAAGAATCCGCACACACACAGGAAAGCGCGCTTGAGCACATCAGTTTGCATACACACCAGCATGGGTAATGCGATTATGGTCAAGGCTCATGTAATTTTGGATTCATGTCGGCCTGGGGCCTATTAAGTTTGGTGCTACTTGTTGTGCGAACCTTGCCCAGAATATCCTACAATGCAATTTGGGTACGAAGGCCAGTGGCACCTCCAGGGCGGGCTGGGCAGGAGGCGGAAGGTGGAGGCGGCCTGGGTAGGAGCATCTCCTCGACGACGCCTCTCCACTGGTGTCGGGCGGCCAGTGGTTCGCGGAGGCGGCCGTCTGGGTGCGGTGGTTCCACCTGGGCAGTATGGTCGCCAAAACGCCCTCCTTGGCGCCCGCCTCGGAATAAGCGCGCCGCTGGCTGTGGAAGGGGCGGCGAGCAAGTGGCAGTGGATGCAGCAACGGCCCATAATGATAAAGCCCTCTTCGTCACACACCCAGAGACGGCAGCGATTACGACGGCAGTGAACGAGACGGCCGAGAAAGTTCGAGCAATAATTCCAAACATAGTGTGCACCGCTATTGTGATGACGAAGACCATGGTCGTGGACGCGAGGAGTACAGTCGGGGTTGATTAGTAGGTCGACCCTTCCAAGTCAAGAGTATCCTTGTGTCCTGTGCTTCGCGACCTGTGCCTTCTACATTCCTACGGCAACGTGGCCCTCGCAAGGGTCTCGTGTCCTCTCGCGTGTTCTTTACAATCCACCCCGACTGTATACCGCGCACGCGTGCATTGAACGGCGACGGTACGGAAGGGGGGAAGCGGCGGTTCCAGCACGTGCAACGTTCGTAGCTACACGGTCGTTGCGTTGCTTTGGCGTGCATCATAGACCACCCTTCTGGTGAAACGGATGCTATGTTTGGAGGAACTTCGATGCCGATGCGCATTTTGATGTGCAGGCCGATTGCGCAGTAGTTGCATATCGGTGTGCATGGTACCTTACATTTCGAATGCATCTGTGGGGAAGCTAATGCTGGCATTCCGATGAGCATGCCGATGTGTGCACCCCATTTACATGTAAATGCTCATGCCCCTTCGCATTACGATGTCAATGGAGTTTCCATTGCGATCTGCAAGTCGTTGACGTGAATTCGGATTTGCAAGGAGTTGCATTCCGATGGTCGTTTCGATTCACGTTTTTTTCGTGCCGACTTACATATAAGTTTGCATATCGTGTGCTATTTGATTTCCACTGCAGCTGACAGTTCTCGCGAGGCAATCATCGGTAACCCCACAGGACAACCCGCAGGACAACCTACGGGACAACCACGGGACAACCCGCGCGACAGCCATGGGACCATCTAAATGACAACTACGGGCCAACCCACTGGACAACCACGGGGAATGTCACGTGACAATCACATGTATGCGGCTCAGTGTAAAAAACTATGGAATAATGACGATTTTGAGTGTGAGTGGAGTGATGGGCGCTAGGCAGCGGGACCCCCCGCCGCCGATCAGGAGTAAGAAGAGAGGAAAAAGCCAGGATAAGCCAGAGACGCGACCAGAGCTTCACGAACGCCATCGGGTCCTGAAGCTTTCTGCGACCCCCCCCCCGAAGAAACAAGCACAACGCCAGCCCCAACAGGGGGAGGCAATTTTTTACTTCAGGCTGTACATCCATGTCGATGTGTTTTGCTTATTCAAGGCGCTTCGCTTTCACCGCCCGCCATTTCCGATTCTCGTAGGACGAGGCCAAGGCAGCTCCAAGACGGGCCAATCATATCTGGAAAATAATGAAAGACTTTCCGCACGTGTGCTTTGTTTGTTTCTTGCGTTCCATTTCTTCTCCATTCGATCGCTCCTTGGCCCAGGTAGGCCGCGTGCCTGCTCGATGGTAAATTTGTCGTGTGGTAGTCTGCTTCTGGCCATCTTCGCGTTGGGCCGTCTGGGAGCCGTCTAGGGAATCGGAAAGTGGATGGGGCGCAGCCGAAAGCGGTGTAATGGCAGAGGCCTCGGGGTGGTCGGAACGGGTGGGTGGGGCTCAACCTTGTCAGGGGGGCCTCTTCAGGCCTCGTGGGAGTTTCTTGGGCTCTTGCTGTCGGTCTCGGGGGTCCTCTTGGGGCAGAGGGCTCGAAATGCCAGCTCGAGTTGCCTCCAGGGCCCATCTTGGGGCCCTGTTGGGGCTTTCTTGGGCCTTGGACGCCTCTTGGGCCGTTTTGGGACCCTCTTCGGCCGTCTTGGGGCCCTCTTGGGGGCTTCTTGAGCCGTCTTGGAGCGATCTTGGGTGCCTCTTGAGCCGTCTGGGACACTTTTAAGACAAGCAAATGCGAATCTCAAAATACATACGTTTCCCCATTGGGTGATTATTTCTTCTTGGGGCCCCTTCGGGGGTCGTCATGGAGCCCTCTTGGGGCGTCTTTGAGGCCTCCTGGGCAGTCTTGAGGCCATCGTGGTCGTCTTTGAAGAGTCTTCGGTGTGTTGGAGCCCAGCTTGAGCCAGCTTAGATGGCATCTTGTGCATCCTGGATGCAACGGAGTGCAGTTTTGGAGGCTGCGGAGTCCATCGGGGGTGCGTTGACGAGCTCGTCCCCCCACCCCCCACCCCGCCAGCCTCCCCCAACTGGCACCCCCATTCTAATCGGATTTCAGGCCCCAGGGGAGGGGGAAAGAGGGAGGGGGCAGCCAATCATCTCACACGCCTTTGCACTCCCTGGCAAGCCAGGCGATTGCAAACATGGATCAAGCGGGCGTGGATTAGCGACGGGTTCCGTTTCCATGGGAAATCGCGGATGTACTCTGCCGAACGAGGCGGCACCGGCCGCATTTTGGGGAGGGCACCTCCCCCGATCCATGGTTTTGGCGACCGCGCGCCAAATCCATGATCGCTAATCCATGTTTGCGCGCCCCCGACAAGCGGGGGTCGGCGGATTGTCAGATCCATTCACAGATAAAGCGATTTTCACGTTGAGGTACACATTGGGTATGTGCCGCATGTATGTCCAGATTCCGGCCATACATCCAACTCTCTCTTTGGGCCGCTGTTTGTACGCATATATATATATATATATATATATATATATATATATATATCTATATATATGCACTGAGATGCCGATCTGCTTGGTTGTCGCCGGGTTATCCAACTTCCCACAGACCTTCAATCTCCACGCCGATGTGACGGCTTACCATTCGTCCAACGTAAACGTTTCATCGTCTATCTTGCAGCCGCCATCTGTTACCTGGTGTATAACTGAATGCGCACGTGTTTAACTCTCTCTCTCTCTCGCTCCACGTACTATACATTTGTAATATTTTTGCAACTGCATGTAGTTATTGAGAAGTGAATGCGTTACACAGACACCATCTTTCCAGCTACCATGTACCGTCGTATTGTTACCTACCATCTTCCACCCACCATTAACAGCCAACGAAGTGGCCACAGGACAATTCACGAAACAAGCGCGGGACAAGCCTGGGGGCAATTCGCGGAGCAACAATGTATGGGACGACCCACGAGCAACCAGAGGTTAATCACGGGGCAAACTACAGGACAACCACGGGACTACCCACAGGACAGCCGCAAGTCAATCCACGGCACATTTATGGGGCAACCCACAGGACAACCATGGGACAACCACACGGGCCAACCATTGGGTCAACCAACGAGACAATTACGAGACATCCTACGGGACAGCGGAACGACCCACGGCACAGCCACGGGACAGATGTTGAACAATCCACGGGACAAACCTGGGTGCCTTTGCAGGACCGGATTGGGGAATTTGTCATGGCGCCAACATCGCAGAGCGGATTTCGGTCGGAAAACGGTAGGGTGGGCCCCGGGTGTCCTGTAAAATTTCGTTTCGGATTTCGAGGAATTTCGTGCGGATTTCTGTTGGCCAGGAACGAAGACCAACAGAAAGAATCCACGCGAGATTCGCTCCGTTTTCCACGCGCCGCTTCGGGCAGAACTCCACGCCGAAATCCGCTGCAGCACGTCTGCAGGGCCCGTGCAACGGGGGATCTGCTGCCCGGTGTGGCCCCGGCCCTGCCCCGGACACGTCGTCGCCCACTGCGCAGCCTCGCCTCGCTCGCCCGCGCGGCACGGGCCGAGATAGAGGCCGAGTTCCCGAGTCGGGGTCGCTTCGTTCTCACCCAGCCTCTCTGCTTGTTGTTGCGCTCGCAGGCCCAGAGGTTGACACCAGCGCCAATATCGACGGTGTGCCTCCACCGAGGGAAGAGAAGATCCCGAGCTCAGTGATGGTGGTGATATTCTGGCTTCCAGGTTGGCCGAAAAATATGTCCACCAACACCGAAACCTTGGATTCTCTTCCCCCTGTGGAGTCAACCCCCTGTGTTGGTTCTGGTACCCATTTCCAGGCCTCCAATATTGTACAGGTGGACTCGAAGAAAAAAACCATATAAATATAAGCTTTTGGCGCTCCGCGCGAATTTCTTAGATCCGCGCCTGGGCCCCACTGCGGCGCCTCCGGTGCCGCCCCTGGCGCGCTCCGCGCGCCAGGCAGGGGGGTCCAGCGCGAATCCAAGAAATCCGCGCGGAGTGTCAGAAGTTTATGTTTATGTGTTTTTTCCCAACCATCCTGTGGTGTTGGGTCCTCGTTTTGAAGAGACGTCGCCCCGCGTTCCTTCCTTTCCCGCTGCCCCCTCCCTCCTCCCACCACCCCATTTCGGCACACCCCTCACACGTTTCGTGGCCCCATAAGGAGCTCCACCGCAGGCCCCAGTGTTGCCGCCCGCATGCGTCCCGTACACCCAATTCGGCACACCCCTCACACGTTTCGTGGCTTCTTGGGGAGCTCCACCGAAGGCCCCAGTGCTGCCGCCCGCATGCGTCCCGCACACCCAATTCGGCACACCCCTCACACGTTTCGTGGCCCCATAGGGAGCTCCACCGAAGGCCCCAGTGCTGCCGCCCGCATGCGTCCCGCACACCCATTTCGGCGCACCCCTCACACGTTTCGTGGCCCCATAGGGAGCTCCACCGAAGGCCCCAGTGCTGCCGTGCGTCCGCACGCACACCCCTCACACGTCGTGGCCCCATAGGGACCGAAGGCCCCATATTCGGCACACCCCTCACACGTTTCGTGGCCCCATAGGGAGCTCCACCGAAGGCCCCAGTGCTGCCGCCCGCATGCGTCCCGCACACCCAATTCGGCACACCCCTCACACGTTTCGTGGCCCCATAGGGAGCTCCACCGAAGGCCCCAGTGCTGCCGCCCGCATGCGTCCCCACACCCAATTCGGCACACCCCTCACACGTTTCGTGGCCCCATAGGGAGCTCCACCGAAGGCCCCAGTGCTGCCGCCCGCATGCGTCCCCACACCCATTCGGCACACCCCTCACACGTTTCGTGCTTAGGGAGCTCC